ACGATTTAGCTCAACGCATACTTCCTCCAACTAATGTTCCAAATACCTTCTTCATCTATTCGCATGACATGACCAAGCCAGCGAAGCCGCTGGATGTTAATTCGATAAATTATATCAATGTCGTGTTAAAACGCGTACAGCTCGTGGTTTATTCGGATGCGGTTGCAATCGCCAACTAGTAAAGAACTTTCTGTATATTGTTTTTTATAAATCGCACGCACGCTCTCAATGCAGTTCATCATATATCTATGTGTGTAATGTAATTTTTAAATAATATCAGAAGCTACCCATGAAAGACCACTGGTAATCATTGTACGAAGGTGAGGCTATTCCTTCAAAATTTTTATTTGTATTTTCTGGATGAGACAATATATCTTCAAGAAACGCAGATGGAAAAATAAATTAATTAGTATTTAATGCTTAGTATACGTAGATAGAGAAAGAACGGGGTACTAGCTCCCATTTGAGCAGAGCACTGCAACATGATTGATCTTTTGTGCTTCAACAGACCCAAACTGAACAGAAGACATTCCGCCTTCCGGATGAAGGCTAAAATGTCGGCCGTTGAGGACCTCCTAATGTCGGAAGGGGAAAGAATACGTAACACTTTTCAAAATATATTCAAAATACAAAGAAGACAAACATGTGCTTTTTTCTTCTTTCTCATCAAAATTTGAGAATAAAATATATTCTCACATCTACCTTTTTCAAAAATATAAGTTTTATTCATATTTGTTTGCAGTAAAACAGGTAAAAATATAACCACAGGAAATAAAAAATATAATGTGTTATTATCAAAATAATGAATGAAAAATGCTAGAATGGCTTTGTTTAATCCATTTAAATCGGGATGATGTTTGCTGCTGTCTGTGACGGAACCTATAGAAAAAGTTTTTTCTATGAATATTTATATATTCCGTATGTAATCGGTTGCGTCATAACACACAAAAACCTTCCAACAAATGAGATCAGAGATAAACGAATATTTCTCCTAATTTATGAAACAGAACCCGTTGAATCATAGATATAAGCTGAGTATTTTAATCAATTGAACAATAATTTATTTTATCATTTTAATTGTGAACTGGTTTCCACTGATTCTCAAATTAACTAATAAAATCTACTCGTGTGAAATGCGGAAGTAAAGCAGATCAATTAAATATTTGACGATGACAAAATTTCGTATGTTTCTCCCATTATTTAGAGTTGAGCGCAAAGTAAAAGTTTTTGAAACTCTGCTTATATTTTTTAAAATAAAGCAAGTTTTAATAATAATTGAATAGAGTTAATTTTCACTTAATGTACTTTACATTTCATTATGTCATTGAGTCAATATTTTGCCAACAAATAATTCACACATGCAATTACGAACATACAAGCTTTTTTTAAATAGGTCCAGGTCAGTATTGTTTTGGGCAAGTAAACAACATTATCTTTTGTAAAGTCAATGTACAGAATTATTTCAAACAATACCAGTTACATTAATAACAATATTTTTTGCTCCACGAGTAATGGAAGATAAACAAGAATTATGTTATTTTTAAGGTCAGCGGTTCTTATCTTATCAAATAAGAACAACAGAAATCAACATGGATCGAAAAAAGTTGGAGGTCACCGGAGCAAATTTTGAATGATGCAATTAGACAAATTTGGTGCATTTGCCCTTCTTGAAGAAAAGTACTGAATGGGACGTGCACTGATTTGATCAATGAAAAGTTACTGTCTGGTTATGCTATTATCAATTATCTACTTTTTATATATCTTCAATAAATCTGTGTCGTGCATTTCTAGTAAAAGTCGAGTTAAATTATAGAGTGAATTAAATCATATTTCCTCTCCGGAAAAAACTTTTTCGCATAAAATATAAAAACGCTTCCAAGTAAAATCAGAGAGATTTTTTTTTATTGCCCATTTTGTTTGACAGAAGGAACAACGATTTCAAATTTTATATATGTTGTAATTATTTTAGTTCTTTAAATTTTAATCTTATTAAATATAATTAATTAAATCAATTGTTTTATAGGTAGTTAATGATATTGTTCTAATATAACACAGCAAGTGAATTTATTAATGAACTTTCACAGCAAATCAACAAAACTGCAGAAAAATGCGCGAACATACAAGTCAAGTACGGCTTTGAGTTAGTTGGCTAATAAACGCTGACTCTAAGCTTCAAATTTGGCAGGGCATGAGTTCAATCCCTGGTACTTGCAGTTTTAAAAGTTATTTACGTATAATTAAATACAAGAAATGTTTCCAAAACCACTGATGATGGGTATTTGGCAATACTCGAAACAGCTGTATAGTCAGACAAATATTCAATTAATTAAAATAATATAAAAATAATTTTTATTTTTGTATTTTACTACTTTTCTAAACCTCTTTTTTAAATTTTAAACTTTATTATAACTACGGACTTTATTTATTAACATATTACTGCAGTATATGTGGATATATGTATATATGTGGATATATGTATATGTACAGCACTCGAGAATAATTTATAACACTCTAGATACTTTCCTAGAGTAGCAAAATTTTAAATCAATAGCTGTTTTATATGATTACAAATTAATTGCGATTTGATTCGATATATTTATCCACTATTTATGAAAAATATAAGTATCTACTAATACAACTATAAAAATTTTAGATTACTCTAAAAATGTCAGATTTAGAGTAATTCTAGATTGAATCCAGATTTACCAATCGAAAAAGCCATAAGAGTCCGTAAATGAGTATATTTTTGCTTTTAATGGTATTATTTTTTTTTTTTTTGAGATATTTGCAGCACCAGTCCTTAAAAAGCAAACTGAATATTTTACCAGTCCTTGTAAAACAGTTTAAATATTTTTCTGGTTGGCAGAATATTTTGGATTAAATCACACTGATATAAAGGATCGGAACCGATCAGTTGCTTCTCAATCATACTTAAATTTTACTTGGGCAAAGATATCAAGTAAAATTCTTGTGACTTTTGTAAAGTACGTAATGACAGTTCACATTTACAAATAAATAATTTTTCGGTACCGGATGATGATACAATAAAATTAAAGTAACTTTTTCTACATGACGACTTGTAGAAGTACATGTGGACGCAGACCTAATATTATAGAAAAAAGGTTTTTTCAGCAGAAAAACATTCATTTTTAAAAATTGTATTCTTTTAGCTTAATTCCAAATACGATTTTCAATAGAACCACCTTCTTTATTGATAACTTTATGTATTGTAGCATTCATTGAAAAATCAATTTCTTAAACTAACTACTTTTACTATGTATTTTGATTTTGATCTTTATTTAGCAATAATAAATATGGTTCCTTAAAAAAAGAAACCATGTCCCACAATTTTTCTAGATTATTAGCTGTGTAGTACAGAGTGATAACAATATATAATGCAGACAACTCTTTAGGAAAGCAAAATATCTAGCAATGAAATCTAAAAATGATAATTACTAATAATAATAATAATATAAGCTGTATTCCATCAGGAACATAGATTATGTTATTTACATAGAATCGCCAAGTACTTCTGTTTAATGCTAAATGTCTCAATTCGTTAAATGATTTATTAGTTTCCTGCCGGATTGTTCTTCTCCATGTGATGCGAGGCCTGCCGGGTCTTCTATTGCCTTGTGGATTCCATTGCAGGGCAGCATAGCAGACCTCTTCATAGGGTTTCCTTAATATGTACCCGAGCCAGTTGTATTTCCGTCGTTTTATCTGTATATTTATGTTTTCTTGGTTTGTGAGTTGTAACAACGGTTATATTGTCCACCACACGTGGCTACCAAATTCTCAATATATTTCGTAGACATCTGTTGGCAAAAGTCTGCAGCATGTGGCTAGTTTCAGTGCTCACCATCCATGTTTCAGAACTATACATCAAAATCGATTTGACACATGCGTTATATATATTGATCTTAGACTTCGAAGATAGTTCGCTTGAGCTTCAGATGTTACGGAGAGTTGCAAATGCAGATATTGCCTTGTTAATTCTGTTTCGTACGTCAATGGCTGCGCCTCCCATTGTATTTATTATGCTTCCAAGGTAGCAGAAATTTTCAACGGTTTCAATTTTGGTGTTACTGATTGTGAAAGTGGGAGCTTGATTTGATTTAATTATGCATGCCTTTGTTTTACTTATGTTGATTCGTAGACCCACCAGTGCAGCTGTAGTTGCAAGGGCATCAATTTTTGCCTGCATATGCTCTTTATTTGACGAAAGTAAGGACTATGTCGTCCGCATAGTCAGGGGTTCGAGGTGTTGGTTGACCCTTCATAAAATGCCCATTCTTTCAACAGTGATTTTTTTCAACACGACATCTAACATTACTGCAAATAGTAGTGGAGATAGCAGGCAGCCTTGCTTAACTCCGGTCTGCTACTGAAAAGCCTCGCTAATGCCGCCACAATATAGGACTTCAGCACTTGCCCCACTGTATTGCACTTTGATAAGGCTTCTGATTTTTTCAGGAACACCTCCGCTTTCAAGCGCGGACCATATGGCGCTTCGGTTTATAGAGTCGAAAGCTTTTTCGAAGTCGATATACACAAGAAACAGAGGGGTGTTTAATTCATTACACTGCTCTACATTAAGGCGTAGGTTGTTGATGTGATCCACGCATGATCTATTAGGCCTAAAACCCGTTGCTCTTTTCGGAGTTGGCAGTCAATTGGGTCTAGGATGCGGTTTAGGAGAATTTTATTGAATATTTTGCAAGCGACAGGGATGAGCAGGATCCTTCGCCAATTGTTGCAATCCCTCTTGTCACCCTTCTAAGGTTTTGACAATTTTGATAATTTTAAGACAGAACTTACATTATCATTATCATTACCATTCTTATTCCAACTAAGATTTTAAATAATATTTAGAGACATTTATATAGATCAGCCGGTTATTTAAATCCCAATTTGAAAAAAGTTTTTATTAAAATAAATATAATAAATTATATAGAAAATAACGTCACACTAATTGAAGTTAAAACACTTTCTTTTAGTTTACACATAGTCTGGAAGTCATATTAATCCCATACCAATGACATTCCTACGGGTCTTCTGTACACTCACGCTATGCATCACTATTGTGTTTGCTTTTGATCATACATTAAGATTAGATTATCCAGGACCGTATTGTGAAGCGAGAAATACTTGCTGTACTGACAGACAGGATGGCTGTTCAATGCCAATATCAAGTAAGTCCTGATCTTCTCAAACCTGTTGAAATATTTATTCCGAATATTTAATGATATAATTTCTACAGCTACAATATGCTACTGTGATGAATTCTGTGATCGCGATCATAGCAGCGATTGCTGCCCTGATTATCGTTCATATTGCAAGAAAGAAATTGACCCAATTATTTCTTGCTTACACAACGGAATATATTTCAATAAGTTCAATACAACTAAAGACAATTGCAATGAGTGTCGTTGCTATGAAGGAGGAAGAGTTGTTTGCGATGAAGATCTTTGCCTAACTGATGACGATATTATTAGAAATGTAAATTCAATCAATTCGCTTGGGTGGTCCGCACGTAAATATGAGGAATGGTGGGGGCGCAAGTATACTGAAGGATTAACTTTACGACTTGGCACCAAAGAACCAACGTTTCGTGTAAAGGCAATGACGCGTCTTACGAACAAAGGAACTTCTATTCCAAAACAATTTAATTCAATAGATAAATGGTCGAATTTCATATCAGATGTTCAAGATCAAGGTTGGTGCGGTGCATCCTGGGTAATTTCTACTACTTCTGTCGCATCCGATCGATTCGCTATCCAGAGTCAAGGCAAAGAAGTTGTAATGCTAGCACCACAAAATATTCTTTCCTGTACGCGCAAACAGCAGGGCTGTAGTGGTGGCCACTTAGATGCCGCATGGCGGTATTTGCATAAACAAGGGTAACGTCACTGACGCAAAATATCTATTAAACTTTCTTGATTTGAAAATTAATTTTATTTATAGTGTACTTACTGAAGATTGTTATCCTTATGCTGGTGCAAAAGGCACATGCAAAGTAATGCACAATCGCCGCTCTTTGAAAGCCAATGGATGCAGAGCTTCATCTAACGTTGATCGTGATGAATTATATACAGTTGGTCCTGCATATTCACTGAACAATGAAACTGATATTATGGCTGAAATATTCCATTCTGGTCCAGTGCAAGCCACAATGCGTATTTATAGAGACTTTTTCGCTTATTCTGGTGGAATATATCGACATACAGGTGCTAGTCGCGGTAGCGAAACAGGGTTCCACTCAGTCAAATTAGTAGGTTGGGGTGAGGAACATAATGGTATTAAATACTGGGTAAGTTAATCTAAAAATCCGAATACAGATAAACTAAACTCTAAACTCTGTTATTTATTTTTTGGGTTGATGTTTAGATTGCAGCCAATTCATGGGGACCATGGTGGGGTGAACATGGATATTTCCGCATATTACGAGGCGAAAATGAATGCGGCATTGAAGAATATGTTTTGGCAGCATGGCCCAATGTTTATAATTATTATAAATCTAAGTTACCTTAATCTAAGAGTTTTACCAAACCGATAGCTCTAATTGTAGCAACTTCTATTGATATTAAGCCCTTATAAAAGGAAAATGCAAAATCTGATACTAACGCAATTTTGTGTTTTAGCTTGCTAAGTCTACTTCTAACTAATCGCAACTTTAAATCTCGTATTATTTTTTATTACTGCCTTAAATTTGTTTGTACTGCCAAAACACTGCGGAAACTTTCAAAATTAATATCTATTTATATGTCTATATAGGATTATTTTATACAATATAATTGAGAATTCATGATATGTATTTAAATATGCTGAGATGAAAAAATAAAAAAAATCGATAACTAAATGAAAAGAACACTTTGTCATAGTTTTTATTTCGATTTCATTTACAAATCATTTCCACAGGGCAGACAGATGACACAATATTAGAAAGAAATTTTGTTGGATTCATTTAAATATAATGCATATAAGATGTATCAGGAATATATGAGATATAGAGACTTGTTTTAAACCCCCACAAATAATCATGGTCCTGAATAAATGCCTGAAGTAATGCTGAAGCTTCAACGTTGACATGTAATCTAACCGTTGTTTATAAGTTTTAGCGAATTTGTTAACAAATTTGATAAAAATGGAAATACTTATATAAATAATTCATTTCAACTTTATGGACTTCGATACAAATGCATTTTTAAGAAATTTTAAATAGTATCTACAACAAATGGTCTTTTATAAAGAAATTGGATTTTGTAAAATGCAAATGCAACTTCCGAAAAAGAAATACTAAACGGGATTATATGTAGAAAGTATATAAGGTTTATGGATGTGATGAAATAAGTAGAATTGAAGACCTTTGTTGAGTACTCTATTTTTCACATCCTTCACGAAATGGTGAGTCCTAAACTCCCCATAACGGAGAGGCAAGTCGTTTTAATATTTCGAAATTCTCGTATATACTTGAGATATACACATTCCTTTCTAAATGTGGAGAAAACCCGTGATAGATACCTTGAACTTTTACCTTAAATATAAACTTATCTACTAACAAGAAGATTAATTATAAATACATTACAGGATATAATCAACCGAAGAAGTAAATATTAATTTTTATAGGTAATAAATGATATATAAACTTTGTCTATCATAATATAGATATCACTCATATAACACGGTGCTTGCATAACAAAGATTCAATAAGAGAATAGTATTATCTTCCAATTTAGAAAAAAAATCAGATCAGCTGCTGTTTTTGATGTTAATGATAATGAAAATCAACTTTTTAAAAGAATTATAATTATTTTTTGAATTAGAATTGCATTTTTTGTTGAATATTTTTGTTTGTATTTTAACAAAATATATAATGAAAACTCTCAATTATTTTTTTCATTTATTTATATATACTCTATTTAAAAAACTCTACCGATTGAAAAAATTTATATATTAAGACTTTTTTTCGATAAAAAATAGTACAAAATGTATTGATCTACCTTAAGGGAATTCAAACATTGCTCGATGAATTGATGATACAATAATCGGGACAGTTTTTTTATATAACTTTTATTTCAATCGATATTTGTTTATTTTTTTTTTTTTTTTGAAATATTTTAATAAGAATAAGATGATGTTTTACCATATACGCAAAAAATTGTAAGACCTGATGTCTCGATAATTCGTTGATTCGTTATTTCGGCAACTCGGTAACGATTTGGTTTCACAAAAATAATAACACACTAAATTTTATCACTTTATCGATGTACCGAGTACGTCTATTGCTGTAAAGTTTTATGTAGCACGTTTCAATGTAAAACAAAATAAGTTTCCATACAATACTGTAGACAATGCCTCATATTACATTCTATCTAAACTTTAATTATATCGTTATACATTATATTATAGTTAAAATCATCAAATAAAAAATTTTGTAAAACACGATATCGATTTAACACGGTACGTGTTTATGTTTATTCTGATCATGTATATTCCTGCATGGGTAAGTTTTATTTAAATTGCAATATCAGCCTATAAAAATGAATTTAATTTAATTAAGACTTAATAATGCAAATTAGAGGCGCCTGGGGAGACATGCTGCGTCAGGCCGAAACTCGGTAACGGGTTGTTATGGCCACATAAGTAAGTAAGTAAGTAATGCAAATTAGAATTTAAATAATTTGATAATTGTTAAAAAAAAAAAGTCAGTCATGATCTTATTATTGCAAATGTTGGTTGACCGGAAAATCAAACCACGCGCCAAGCAATTCAAAACCTCATATAGATACGAAGAAATTTCAATCATTTCATTCTAATACGCTCTTCGTATTTTTACGGTCTTGGCTCTAATTTATTACGGTTTTTGGTTTTTGTATTGTGATGGTCTTCAAAATAATACGGTCTGCGGTCAGCCAATTATTTAAAATTTAAATTTAAGAAAGTAAAGAGCGGAGACTTTAAATAACCTAAAAGTATTGCATACCTTTGCGCGCGGAGTCTGGTTCGGCATACTTTTGTGAGTTAATATACAGTGGATCTTACATATAAAACTGCATTACTACATGAGCATTTCACACAAGCTGCAATTGTTAGTGGTAAGACAACGAGAGAAAAACACGTTTTTATTAAATGAAATACCGTAGAAAACCTTAACAATATAAACATCGAGATTAACGAGAACGAGTTCAAGTTGATCTACATTTTTAATCTCCACCGTTTACATTATACATTGGAGATTAATTTTGACGTTCCTCTTGTTATGTTTTATTTTATGTGTTTGATTAATTTCTGTAAATACATCATTTAATTAAAATAGTTTTATAACAATAATTAACAAATTTTAGTTATAATTATGTTCAAAACTATTATTAAACAAATTTAATAAAATCTTCAGTCTCATCGACATTTTCAAATTTTCGATATTGTTTTAAATAGATTTTGACATTTCTTTTCCATTTCTTCTAAGATCGTAAAAAAACTATTATATTAAACCATTTGCAGAGTTGCATTGAAAAATAATCACCATATGTAAGGAGATTTAAAATTAATCTCGACCAAAAGGAGATTAACTTTTGTATGGGAAATCTGTGTATAAAAAACAACTAGATAAGTACCTTAATCTTGATTATTGCTTTAATCTACTTTTAATCTCACAATGTAAACGCCATATAACCTATGTTTTGCAATTAGAATGTAAATAATCTTTACAATTTATTAAATCCCACCAAAGTGAAGCACCTCTGATAAAAATAGTTCAAATTATAATAAAAATTTAAAGCGTTCTTTTGTTGTTTTGCAAAAATAACCTCTAAAAATATATATACAATTACAATTTAAATTTGAAAAAATTATTTATTTTGATGTTTCATTTTTATTTATAGTTATGTGAATGTAAAAACCAAATCTTTCTATACTAACCTATATGGACAGACAAATAATTTAACAAATTTCAGAAGTAACGCTAAATTGGATACTGTTACGTTATATTGCATGAACTAAAATATGGTATATACTATATGGAGGCCATTCTTTTCAAAATCGGACACCCTCAAACCTAATTAGACACTGTGAATCATAAAGATTTAGTTTTTTTGAATTTAAAAAAAATTTACTAAATATTTTCAAAATAATTTAACAACTTTACTTATTTAGTTGCGGAAAACTACTAAACAATCAAAGTAATTTAATAATCTATTCAGGCATGCCGAACGACAGTGACCCTCGCAGTTTATCTCACGACAAAAGTTAAGAACACTGTCATATCTTGGCAAGTGCACTCCGAAAGGATCATAAGCGTACGATTACGAGCTAAAAAATTTAACATTCACTCATCCAATGCTATGCTCCAACAGAAGAGAGTGAGCCTGTGGATAAGGATAATTTTTATAGTATGCTAGATGGTGTTCTCTCGAGCATACCAAAAAATGACATTATAGTCTTGCTGAGACTTCAACGCACAGATTAGCCCAAACAATCAGGGATACGAACATATTATGGCACACATGCTACGGGCAATCGAGGCGAAAATGGAGAATTGCTACTAGAAATATGCAACAACTTCGACATTAAAATCGGGGAATTAATGTACAACCATACATTGATTCATAAGATAACATAGCGAGCTCCAGGTGGCAACGCAGAAACACAAATATCCTTTGCGATGTTCGTAATAAAAAGAGCGCCGAAATTTATAGCGATCATTATCTCTTGATTGATGAAATGCGACTCGCTTGACAGAGAATCAATATGGATAGCGCTTAAGTTGAGGGGCGTTCCCGATAAAATCATAAATATTATCAAAGTTACCTATGAAGGTACAACTTGCAAAGTCTTACATGGTGGTGAGCTCAACGAAGCTTTCATGTGCCGCACAGGAGTAAAACAAGGTTGCACCCTGTCTCCGCTTTTGTGTATAACAGGCTTGGACTTGGTATTTGAAGGTATAGAAACACGCACGGCTGGTATAAACTGGGAACTAAGAGGTGGACTAGCTGATCTTGAATATGCTGACGATGTTGTTCTACTGTCAAACCGATGTGGCCAGGTTTGAACACCTCGGCAGCCAAATGTCTAGAGATGGCGGAATATTGACAGACGTAGACTGTATGATATGCAAGGCGAGCTCTGCGTTCGGCAGACTCAAATCAATCTGGAAGTCTACAAGCATTACGCGGCAAACAAAATTAAAAATATTTAATGCATGTATTTAATCAACCTTGCTATACAGTTGTGAGACCTGGCACAGTTCAAGCACTATCATAAACAAGCTGCAATCCTTTATCAACAGAAGCCTAAGACATATTTCAAAAGTCTGGTGGCCGCGAACTATTCGCAACGAAACACTGTGGCGAATTTGTCATCAACAAACCATCAAAAAGGATCAACAAGCGTAAATATGGTATGGATGGATTGACCATACGCTCAGGAAGATCTCAAACAAAATACCCTACGCAGCGTTAGGGTGGAACCCACAGGGCCGGCGAGGAAGAATTATTTGTTGATACAGTCACCAAGAACAATATCACACACTGTTTTCATCATTTATGTTAGTCGTATAAATGTGGTCCGATTTTACTTTCAGTACTAGTTTGGCAATATAAGCCAGGGCTTCAAACTGCAACTGAAGCGGAATAAAACCAATAAAACCAGAAACTGGAATGGATCCAAAAAAAATGTATTGATTTCTTTCGTTTTTGCATAGTTTGGTATCAGTTCATTCATGTGCGGTCCTCTTCATGTATATTTATTTTATTTTGTTTCTATATAAGTACTTTTAATAAATCCGAATTATGCTTTAAATGAATAAAGTTTTAGATGAAACATAATTAAATGAAATCATATGATTCTGATCTGACATG